ACTCGGCGGTCATGTTCCACCCTACTTGAAAGTTGATGGAATGATCATCGGTAGGTAGAATTCAAGAGTTACACAGGAGCAGTAGTTCTGCCAGGCGAATGTGCATCAGTGTCTTCTAAGCATCGATCGATGAAGCACCGAAGACGGATGTCCCGGAAACTGATTTGGTGCTGACATCGTATAACACGCACAGTGAACGCGTTCGGACATGCTTCCCGGATGAGTGCAAAGAAGTCGGTGAAAAAAATTAGGCGCTACTATTAGTACAGCATTCCAATCAACACAACATATGCAACAAAATAACGTGCTGCTGGCCGAATGAAGTATGGTTGTTTGGTTCATTTTTGTACACTAGAACTCGGGTGACAGTCGAGTTGTGAACTGTGTTGCACAGGGACCCAAGAGACATGTGGAGGCAAGATACCATGCATAACTGAATCATTGCAACAGGGAGGTGGGGAACAGAAGGGCGAGGGGTAAAATTGCACATAAATTGGCGCATCAACCCACATGTGTCGTCTGTGGATCGAAATGAATAAGGGAGGTGCATTTCGTACAAATAATGGGAAGATAATAAATGATAATGAACAGATGAGATGGATTACTGAAGATAAAAGAAAGAAAAAAGTTCAGACGAGGGTTTGGCAAAAAGTTAAGGTTTCACAGAGGTTTGGCAAGGGTTTGGGAGACGGTCCCAAAGGAAAAATATTCACAGCATCAAATGAATGGAAAATACATGTGTCAAAAGGACCCCGATGAAAGTGAAATGGAGTTGAACGAGAGCTGATTATAAGGTGTTAACGTGCACAGAATCCAATCACATGAATGTCATTGGCTGCCATAAGTAACACAACAAATACAAGGGCTATTAGAGGAACGAACAACAGTTAACCAAAGTTATCAAGACCTATCAAGGCAGACTATGAACAATCTCGAGTTTGATATTCATTGTTATTGGGTTGACTGGGTCGTTCGGAGCGATTTACTGAACCCATGGGTGAGACGACGTCACAATCCTTCATCTCTGAACCGCTGGAAAAGTTCGATTTGAAAGTGGGAACGTACGAACTAGTAGACAGTTTTGTATTCGGGATTGGATCGGAATCATCCGGCTTGATAGGATTCTCGTGGGATTTTTCCGAGACATTGGAAACCGTAGTAAAAACAAGAGGTAAAGGGGAACGGAAAACGGTAGCTGTATCAAATGTGTCACTTGTGGTCGGATCCGACGCGGTTGATGTGAAACCAGATATTGTTATCGCAGGGGCGTCGGGTGAGAGGTCCATGGCCGAAGAGCACAGATGCGACATAGATTGAGTTAGTGGTTTCCCAGGTACGCGTGGATCATCATCTGCGGCTCCATCGCTGGATGGTTCAGGTGAAGACGGGGAAGGAGTAAGTTCATCTTTCAATGAACCAACACTACTCGTACTACTGCTGGGACAGTAGGTGTTGGTGCGACTGCGTTTCCCTCGAGAATGACTGGGACGCCGTACCTTGTAAAATGAGTGTAGCGAGGCGGATGCTTGAGTGGATATCCAGGTAGATAAGCGGGCAGATCGGCGGTGCGGAAAGAGTATTGGGTCAATTACAGAATTGGAATTAGTGCCAGCAGTGTGCCGATCGCTGGAGGGATCGGTCAGGACGAAATTTCCGAGGGTTTTGTTCTCTTCGTTCCACGGAGTATTCGATACTTCTAAATTATTTCTTTTCAATTCCGTTTTCAAACCAACAGATTCCGTTTCTTTTCCAGTTGTCTTCGACAAACCACTACCATCATTTTTGCGCTTCATTGCGCGACGAACCATGCCATGAGGTGGATAGTTATAAGTTCGATACCCAGTCAGGTAGTCCACGATTCGCACGTCGCGCAGTCGACAGCGTCCGCCTTGAACAAAATCTAATATGTCTAACGCACTGTTCACACCGGAGGTGAATGCACCGTGAGTGCACTGCTGCCCCCCCGTGCTATCCACTGTGCCTTCCCCGGCAAAAAGCACACGAGGATAGTCCTATAAAATGTAATTGAAAAATCTGAAGTTGCGAACTGAAAAGTCTGCAAGTTGAATGAGCAGAAATAAAATTTGGAAAAAAGATGAAAAATATAACACCGGAAGTAACCATTCAATTTCGGTAGGTCTTTGTTCATTGATGACTGACCGCATCTCCAAACCTCAGCCTCCTTAACTTTTCAGTAAAACTAATGACAAACAAAGCTCGCCACCATCTTTTCTCTAACCTTTTTTGCACCAAGTTTAACCTACTTTGTGTGACTGTTGCTGCCACCAAATCTACAAGTATGTACGTCAACAAACTGATAAACCGAGCTGATTGGTTGCCATCCGGTTAGGTACTACGCATTATGTGACTCGCAGCGTGCCGTCCCAAGTTTTAACTATTTTTTTAAGACAGAGGACTTCTATGACCCTGCATCTCTACACCTCTAATATCCATCAAACTCATTCATTTCCGATTCCCGTACTGTTCTGCGTCAAAATGAATGGAGCGCACCCTGGGACTGATCGCACTTACCAGGTCCAGTTGTAGTTGTTTGAAAATGCATTGGCTCACTATCGAATTTTTGTTACCGGTTCTCGACAACTCTGATCGTTAAGTTTCAGTCTCACGACGAACCCGATTTTGCTTCATAGAACACGACTATGGTTGCTACCGAAATGTGGCTAGCTCAAAAATTTGCATTTCAACCAAAAAAATCGAGACAAACACGACCTCAATGAGATCCCATTCAGAAAGTTATCCATCTAAGGCTGAGGCCAAAGACGCCTGTACGTGCACATATTCACACCTGAGTATAGTGACGGATTTATCGATCCATCCTCTCTAACCTTTCTTACCCCACTCACAGAGGTCAATTGAAGTCGGGTTCGCTCGTTCTCCTCTGAAGCTTACCTGATCAACGGTCAAAGACAGGCTGCTTCTGGCCAAAAATAGACAGATACCACTAAAATTTAGTATTCTGGTTTGGGTGTGGAGAAATCGGCTTGTTCCGAACACAGAGGTGCTGTGATAAAGCAGACCTTAACAACTGCTTATGTCCATCATATGATTCCACACCTTTTATTTCACATAAGCTTAATCCAGTTTGGATGCACAAACCAAAACACACGCACACGCGTAAAGTTTACCTCAGTCTCCGGATTCGCCACACAGTCAAATTATGATGACATTCTTGTTTTTGAAATATTTGCCCAAATAGCACTAACTTTATGAGCTTGACCACTGTACCCGTTGCAACCTAAGCACAATATCACATTCCATTTAGCCTAAAATCATTCATTTTCCTTCAAAAGTCTACTTTCATGCTTCAATCAACTGGACCAGTCTGTTTGACAGTTTAGTCACACGATTAATCGAGCGACTTGATTCCTGGTGATTCAGCGTACTCGCGAAAAACCGACCATTTATCACCAGAATATCTTACGGGTCATTTTATTGCCCAGTATGCATATGTTCATTTGCGCCTAGCGCAGGCACTAGTTTAGAAATGGGCAATTTTAATATAAGCCACTAGCCCTAACGGAATCAAGGTGTCCTCTTTAACCAAGATTCCCGTCTCGTCTTAACTGTGGTAACTTGGTTCGTTCAGCTGGCCCCGGAGCATCTCATCACTGTCTGTGTTGTTATCAGTTCATAGGTGAACATGCGTGTGCATAGATCGAAGGCGAACTGTGCGCTTGTGCGCCAGGGCTAGGTTTGAGTTACATAACAATCTACGGTAAACTGGTTGTATCCTCAATGATGAAGCAGAATGGCGATTTGGGGTCTCGTAAATACAGATGCAACCATTTATATATGCGCATGTAAACGAAGAGTTATAAACTAGGTAGAACTTTTCAACTATCCGTTTAGGTGAAAGGCAAAGGTCTCACAACCGCGAATGTTCCATTGATTAGGCGTCTACCAAATGTGACCACAGAGTGAAAAAATGAACTTACCGACGATGGAAGAGGACTTGCATAAGCATGACGATCGTCATCATCGCTACCCACCTCGCCAGCTGTGTAAGCACCTAAACTGAAGGGATCCTCGGACCAGCGCGTAACTGTAGTGAAAACAGGCTCTGGTAGTGGGCATCCTTCGGGAAACATTCCGCTTAGTAGGTCCATCAACTCTTGCACGATTGCGTGATCTGGTCGATTCAGCAGCCGAATCTGAGATCCACCCCATATGTGAGCCACCAGTACA